AAGAACATTTGGGGCCCCTCATCCCAGGGGCACTAGAACTGGAGGGGGCAGAGGGACCCACCCCACCCCCCACTTTTTAACATGAATGTAGGTGTGAAGTGGTGGCAGGAGGGGCTGCGCTTTGTGGCGAGGGGATCAGCTCTCCTGCAGTGAAGCGCAGGTCCTGCTAGTGGCACCAGTCTCTTCCCAGTGGTGGTGAGAGGCTGAGGTGGGGTACAGGACCCCACCCCCTGCTCTTCTTCTTCCCCCTGAGAAGCTGGAGCCAGGCCAGAAGCTGGAGCCAGGCCATGGTAAGAGCCACCCAGGGAGCCCGGGCCACTGTGGGGAGCCCCAGACTCTCCACCTGCCCTGGGTGGCACACCCCGAGGGGCAGAGACATGAGCAAGGGGCTGTTCTTGGGCACTCTTCCCCCAACCACCCAGGGCAGGTAGAGGGTCTGGAGCTCCCCATAGTGGCACAGGCTCTCTGGGTGGCTATTACCATGGCCTGCCTCTGGCTTCCGGCCAGGCCAGGGGGTGGGGCCTCAGGGGAAAGAGGAGGACCATGGGGCAGGGTCACAGTTCCAGCAGCGGTGCCCCCCCCCACTTCTACACATGTTCTGGTGCTCCTGTAGGGGCCCCCAAATTGGTTGGAGCGCCAGGCACGGGCCCAGCATTAATCCGAAGGTTATATGAATTATACTTAGCCATTAGTGCTTTCTATATTCCAAACACTACACAAAAATAAACAAATAAGTTAATATATGTTAATGAAAGAATGCTTGGGCCCAGACCTAAATGTCTCACTCATGCCTTGTAGGACTGTTAGCCTAATCCTGCTCCAATTGAAGTCAACATGAGGTTTGCCATTTATTTCAATGGAAGCAGGATCATTCTCCTGGCATTTAGTGGGACTAAGATAAGTACAGACTGTAAAATCTGACCTTCTGTCCCTATTTCACTGAGAGGGAACTCAGACATAGGCTTTGTCTACATTAGCACTTTCCTTCAATTCTCCCATCGTCATGGATGCAGCCATCCAAGTGATAACATGATGGGAGTACTAGTGTAGGTAGTCCACTAGAATTTTAACCTCCATTTACTCTTACCCAGCTAAAAGCAGCTCTTTAATTATGCTGGTTAAATGGTAGCTAGTTGGTCTACACTAGTGCTCCCACCATTGCCATTAATACCACTGGTGGAACTGCTAGTGCAGCTGGGTGTTGGGAGAGAAATGTGAAGAAAACTGTAAATGTAGACAAGCCATAGGTGACATCCTGAAGTCCTCAGAGAGTAAGTTAATGGCACTTGTGCAGTTAGCATTCAGGAGTTTTCCAGATTAAGACTCACAAGCAGGTAAATTTCAAATTAGAAATTAGGCACAAAGTTTTAACAATGAAGGTGATTAACCAAACTACAAAGGGAAGTGGTGGATTCTCCTTGATGTCTTCAGATCAAGACTGGATGCTTTTCCTTAACCTTCAGTCAAATGCAAGTTATCTTTAGTCAAACACAAATTATGTGGCTCAATATAAAGGTAAATGGATGAAATTTAATGGCCAGTGATACACAGGAGTCGAATTAGAAGTGTGGTGGTAAGCTTTATGAATTTGTGAATCATATCAACCATAAACTGGTGAAAATAATGTTTGCCCCTTGATACTCTTGGTGCTAATGGGCCCTGATGCTATAAAATAAAAATTAATAAATTAGAAGGTAATTATGGGGCTTTTCTTTTACAAATTAAAGTCTAAATATTTCAGCTAAATATGGCTTTATTTACAAAAACATTTACACAAGGAAGAAACAACAGGTCGAATTTATTACTGAGGTCAGTGGCGTCATACCAGGGATGTGATCTTTGTGCCCTTTGAATATGGATGAGGAAGATTATGAAAAGGTGTCAGGTCAATGTCTCTTATCGTAATACTGCTTCTATATTAGTTTCATTTTGATCCCTTTTTGTTCCTATGCAGAAATTGGCACTTCATACTATGCAGTGGCTGTTGTCAGAAAAAATTCCTTCATTAGCATCAACAGTTTGAAGGGTGTAAAGTCATGCCACACAGGCATCAACAGAACAGTTGGCTGGAATGTTCCTGTTGGCTACCTCATTGATAGTGGTCGCATGTCAGTGATGGGATGCAGTGTTCCAAAAGGTAAGGGCTGCTGGGATGTAACCTGCTTTCCAGAGAGGCCCTGTCACTGAACATTGGCATGAATATGGGCTCCCTGGATAGTGGAAGCACTCACAGGGACAAGAACTTTGGCTTCTAGCTGATTTTTTCACCTTATTTTGTTGCTCATTCTAACTGAGAATTGACCTGAAGCAGCTCAGATCAGAATTTAGCCCAGTGTATTTATGTATAAACTGCTTTTAAAAGCCAACAGAAGCTATTATCACTTTTTTAATGTATAGAGATGTATAATTAAGGTTTGTTAAAATGTGTTTTTGCTATTTTTGGTTTTGGTTTTAGTTGCTAAAATATTGTTACCTTAATTTTACTTGTAGCTGTTAGTGAATATTTCAGTGCAAGCTGTGTTCCTGGAGCCAATAATGTAAATTACCCCAAATCCCTCTGTCAGCTCTGTAAAGGGGACGCATCTGGGCAGGACAAATGTGAAAGAAATTCAAAAGAGCAGTATTATGACTACAGCGGGGCTTTCAGGTAAAGCTTGGTGTTTAATGTTTAACATTTGTCTGTATATGCTGTGCCCATTGGCAAGATATCTGAGCCCCAATTGACTTTCAGCAGAATTCCAGAGAGCCAATGAATAATGCTAGTAGAAAATCTGTTAAAACATAAAACTAAGTGAATTTATAATTTGAGGTAATCTTAAAATAATTTCACTATAATTTCACTTCAGTGGTTCCCAAACTTTTTGGCATCACACCCCCTTTTTAATTTTTGAGAAACTCTCATGCCCCCACCTCTCCTTTACCATCATCCAACCTCCCCCCCCAGCTCCCTGTCTCCTGACCACCCCCCCACCCCGAACCTCTGCCCCATCCAACTGCTCCCTGTCCCCTGACTGCCCCCTGAGTCCTCCTGCCCCTTACCCAACCCCTTCTCCCCTCGCTCCCTGCCCCCTTACCAGGCTACTCAGAGCGGCAGGGCTGGCTTATTGGAAAGCCTGGGAGGTGGGCAGGCGCAAGCTGCACTGCCTGTGCAGCGGCGTTGTTGCAGGGGAGGGAGGACGGAAGGGGAGGGGCCGAAGGCTAGACTCCCCGGCCAGGAGCTCAAGGGCTGGGCAGCCTCATGCGCCCCCCTTGGAATTTCTTCACGCCCCCCAGTTTGGGAACCAGTGCACTAGTACTCAGACCAAAGGCATATCTGTTCTTTGATAAAAACTCTAGGTGTCATTACTTGTTTTGTGCGTGGAAATCCCATTTTAAGTTGTTTTTGTCTTCATCAATATTCACCTCCTGGGAAAACAAATCTTGATATTCACCTGATCACAGATCCATAAGTGCTGAACATGCTTGGATTTGATGCAATCTTAACAAGAGCTGATGAGCCCTGACAGTTTTCATACCTGAACATTAGGCTTAGCCAGCTATTTGGTAAATCTGAAGCTTCCCTTTTCAAGTACAATTAGTTCCCTTATCTCTTATTGTGCTCCCCTCCTCCTCCACTTCACCAATGCCAGCCTCAATACCTCTTCTCTCTACGTCTCCCATTCCTCTGTACCTTATTCTCTTCCCTGCGTGCATGTGTGTCAAACCCTCCCAATCCCCATGGCCTGGACCAGGCCCCCACAGATGTCACAAATTAAAAAATCTGTATAATTTTATTTTAAACAGTGACTCCTCATTCCAGATTTTCCAGTGGGTCTTGTGTCTGTCTGAGACAGTAGATTTTTCAGGGCAGGGAATCATTTGATATTTGTGTCTTGTATCACACCAAGCATTGTCAGCACCTGCCCTACTAGCCATTAGCCTCTGCCTTGATCCTTACACACAGCATAAAGATAGAAAATAGTTCAGCATCTTTCTACTGGTGGTCTTTGGGTACATTGCACTCACAGGCCTCCTGTTGTCACTGAGCAGTATTCCATACTTACGATTAATAGTGTATAAATATAGTCTGATTTATGGTAGGTGTTTAGCTGAAGGAGCTGGAGATGTCGCCTTTGTGAAGCACAGCACAGTGTCTGAAAACACAGATGGTGAGTAATGTAAGGGTTCATCTCTCACTTGAAAGTCCAGCTGTATTCTCTAAAGCATTGTAAATTTAGTGACCCCAACAATAAGAGCAATGTCATATGTTCAGAATTTATTCTGATGCAAGGAATAAGCAAAGATGCAATAAAGCCAGAACACCATGTGAACACAAGGGAAAGAGAAATGTCCCCAGGTCAGACATTTTCAAATCGACTGGCAATTTCAGCAAAAAGTAAAGTGGGATCTTTAATTGCACTCTGGAAGCAGAGATTAACCTGAACCAAAATCCTGGATCCAAACAGCCTTGGACTTTGGGATAGTTTAAAAGTTGAATACAAATAATTGTGGCTTAGGCGCCTCTCTACTCAGAAATCTCAGCAAAAACAGGTAGAAGGGAGCTTAGTTTGTAGTACCACTAATCAATGCAACCACCCCTATACCCATGGCATTTATTGAGTATACCTGTGAGTATATACCACTTAGATATCAAGGTCCCACTTTTTAAATCCAGTGGAGCTCCATTTAGTGCAGGACACCTGGGTGGGTGGGTGTAAAAGTTTGTTCTGGGTCACCCTTGTGGCCCCTGGATTTTAGGACCGTCTCAGCACTGCTGTGGTCCCGAGCGTAATTCAGAGCTGCCTGCACACTGTTTTAATTTCTGTTCAACTGCTTACAGTCTCATAGGGATCTGAAGCCAAAGGAATAGCTTCAACCATATTATATTTCCCCCAACCATACATTGGGGAATACGAGGTGATAGGGTGGCCTACAGCCACTGTTGGTTCTTCACCTCTTAGAGAGTACCCTTAGACAGGGGAAATTCTCGAGTAGCTTGTTAAGCCAGCTTTCCTCCTGCTTTATGCAGCTGTAGGGAAAATCAGGCAGAATGTAGTGGAGAATTGCTGCTCATGTGATTAGGTACCTTAGAAATAGTGTGGCTGGATGGGTAGAGCAGAGTCAGAGGGAGACAGATGCATCAGCAGCTCTGTGTCCATCAGCGTGATTCTGGAAGCTGTTTCATAACTGTGTTCTATTTGATTTCAGGCCAGACTCCTTCCTCATGGGCCCAAGAGCTTCACTCCAGGGACTTCCAGCTTCTCTGCCGCGATGGCAGCACAGCTGAGGTTACAGACTGGAGGAAATGCCACCTGGCCCGAGTTCCAGCTCATGCTGTTGTCGTCAGACCTGACACCGATGGGTCACTCATCTTCCAGATGCTTAAGCAGGGGCAGGTGGATTACGTTTTTTGGTGTCTGTTGTACTGATTTTTTAGTTGCCCCTCCATCCACCTGGCTTGATCCTGTGGGATGCTGAGCACCTTCAGCTCAGTGAGAATTAAATGGGAGTGGAGGGCACTCAGCAGCTGAGAAGATCAGGCCTAGAGATGGATTTCAGCCACAAAATGTGGCTGTGGTCTCACACCACTTTCTTTGCCCCCAAATACCAAGAGACACTGAACAAGGCTTGAACTTCTTGAGGGGCAATTGTTTATGCCTTGTGAAGGTACAAGTGAGATAGTGCCCTCAATGCCAAGGTTTCCAACTAGACTTTACTTTCACTCCAGACTTAAACATTACTTAAGCTATGGCCTGGTGTACACCTACAACTTAGTTTGACCTAGCAACTCATTCAGGGCTGTGAAAAATGTTGCACCCTGAGCATCGTAGTTAGGTCGACCTAACCCCTGGTGTAGATGCGGCTTGATTGATGGAAAGATTCTTCCATCAACCGGGCTACTGCTTCTCAGAGAGCTGGATTACCTACATTAGTGGAAAAACTTCTTCCATTGATGTAGGAACCATCTACACTGTGGCAATACTGTAGCTGTGCTGCAGTAGTGTAGACACAGATTATACCAGCATAGCCATGTTCGTGTACCTATGCAGGCATAACCCCATAATGTAGCTGCAGCCTATGCCAACAAAAGAGATTTTTCCATCAGTGTGAAGATGCCACCTCCCTGAACAACAGCAGTTGTATCAACGGAAGCATTGCCAATCAACATAGCTGCATCTCCACTGGGGTTTCGGTCAGTAGAGCTATGTCAGTCAGGGGTGTGGTTTTTTTTTTAAACACACTCACTGAGGGAGCCATGTCAACCTAACTTTAAGTGTAGACCAAGCATTAGATAAAGGTGTGTTTGCCTTATAGACACTTTCTCTTTCCTTAATGTTACAGCAAAGATTTCAGATGTTTGACTCTGCAGCTTACAATGCAAAGAATCTTCTCTTCAAAGACACCACCACAGAATTGGTTCCAATCACAAATCAGAACTACCAGGCTTGGCTGGGTGATGAATATATGCATGCCATGCAAGGCTTGAGCTGCGATCCCACCAGTAAGTTGGGCCTTTGGATTTGCCTCTGTAATCACAAGTAGAGGTGCTCTTACAAGAGAGACCACCTTGATTTTGTTTGAATTCATGTTTGTATCCTGACCTTTTGGAGAATCCTTGGAGCACAAAGACCCAAACATCACACTGGAGTGGGAAAGGAGACCACTCTGAATTTGAGACCATGAAACATTGCTTCAAGGATTCACCTACCATGGTATAGGAGCAGCAGGGGTATCTATGCTGAGCGAACTGATCAAGATGTGGCTCGTCTTCCACAGGGTGGGCATAGAAAGCAGAGTGCTGATCATTGACCTCAGTACAAAGACCCAGAGGGAGACCAAAGAGACAGGATCCTTCAATTTTAGACTGATGCTCTGTTTAATTGTAATCTCTCTCTGGCCCGGAGACAGAATGCACACAATACTTGCAACTGGGGCACCACAAATGTGCAGATTTGTGTCGTGTTAACTACATCAGTAGTTCCCAATCCTGAAATGTACACTGACTGGTGACGAGATCTCTTGGTTTCTTTCCTATTCTATCTTGATTCTTGCAGCATGCCCCTCTCGGTGGTACCTGAGCACCTGGTACTACGGTCTTCTTTCCCCACATTAATGATTGTAGTCTCTGTGTTGAACCACAAACTCCTATTAAAAATCCCCAAACTGCAATTTGGAGCCAGCAGAGCTTCATTGCAAACTGCATGAAAAGTAGACCCATCTTGCCCATATGAGTGGGAGGGGTTTTAGTCTGGTAAATTCATACTGTTGCCTGAAAAGACTCCCTCATTTACAGCTTCTACTCCTTTTCTTTTTCCTGGACCACTTAGGGTTTGTTTTGATATGCTGAGTGCCCACATTTCAGTCAGTTAAGTATCATACTGCAGCCAGAAACATGTGAAACATACAGCTCCAAATCCTGCTGTCCTTTAGGCAAACTAATGGAATGGGTTTCTCATTGTTTTGGTGGGCCATTTGCTTGAAAAAGGATTAAGTAAGAATGGCAGGATTTGTCCTACTGTTTGGTTCCACTACATTATGTTCTGTTAGCAGGTTTATTCCTTTGGTGCATGAAAATTTATTCTAGAGCTGTCGATTAATCACAGTTAACTCATGCGATTAACTCAAAAAAAGTAATCACAATTTAAAAAATGAATCGCAATTAATCGGAGTTTTAATCGCACTGTTAAACACTAGAATACCAATTGAGATTTATTAAATATTTTGGATGTTTTTCTACATTCATATATATTGTATTCTGTGTTGTAATTGAAATCAAAGTGTATATTATTTTATTACAAATATTTGCGATATTTATCCTGTAAAAAGGATAAACAAAAGAAATAGTATTTTTCAATTCACCTCATACAAGTACTGTAATGCAATCTCTGTCATGAAAGTGCAATTTACAATGTAGATTTTTGTGTGTGTTACATAACTGCATTCAAAAATAAACCAATATAAAATTTTAGAGCCTGCAAGTCCACTCAGTCCTACTCCTTGTTCAACCAATTGCAAAGACAAACAAGTTTGTTTACATTTACAGGAGATAATACTACCCTCTTCTTAGTCACAATGTCACCAGAAAGTAAAGAACAGGCATTCACATATTGTAGCTGGCATTGCAATATATTTAGGTGCCAGATATACTAAACATTTGTATGCCCCTTCATGCTTCGCCCATCATTCCAGAGAACATGCTTCCATGCTGATGATGCTCGTTAAAAAAAATGAGTTAATTAAATTTGTGACTGAACTCCTTGGGGAAGAAGTGTATGTCTCCTGCTCTGTTTTACCTGCATTCTGCCATATATTTCATGTTCTAGCAGTCTCGGATGATGACCCGGCATGTTGTTCTTTTTAAGATCACTTTCACTGCAGATTTGATAAAATGCAAAGAAGGTACCAATGTGAGATTTCTGAAGATAGCTACAGCACTTGACCCAAGGTTTAAGAATCTGAATCTTTCAAAATCTGAGAGGGATGAGGTGTAGAGCATGCGTTCAGAAGTCTTAAAAGAGCAGCACTCCAGTGTGAAAACTACAAAACCCAAACCACCAAAAAAGAAAATCAACCTTCTGCTGGTGGCATCTGACTCAGATAATGAAAGTTTGAATTGTTATTGAAAAGAACCTGTCATCTGCATGGATGCATGTCTCCTGGAATGGTGGCTGAAGCATGAAGGGACATATGAATCTTTAGCGCATCTGGCACGAAAATATCTTGCGATGCCAGCTACAACAGTGCCATGAGAACACCTGTTCTCACTTTCAGGTGACATTGTAAACAAGAAGCGGGCAGCATTATCTCCTGCAAATGTAAACAAACTTGTTGTCTGAGCGATTGGCTGAACAAGAAGTAGGACTGAGTGGACTTGAAGGCTCTAAAATTGTACATTGTTTTATTTTTGAATGCAGTTTTTTGTACATAATTCTACATTTGTAAGTTCAACTTTCATAATAAAGAGATTGCACTACAGTACTTATATTAGGTGAATTGAAAAATACTATTTCTTTTGAGGTTTTTTTACAGTGCAAATACTTGTAATCAAAAATAAAGTGAGCACTGTACACTTTGTATTCTGTGTTGTAATTAAAATCAATATATTTGAAAATGTAGAAAACATACAAAACTATGTACATAAATGGTATTCTATTGTTGTTTAACAGTGTGATTAATTGTGATTAATCACATGATTAATTTTTTAATCACTTGACAGCCCTAATTTATTCCTTTCTAGAAGACTTCACTCCAGCTGCAGAAACAAAGAAGCTCCTTTTCCAAACACATGGGATGTTTTAATGCATTTTCAGGGCTCAGCTGTTTGCAGCAGGGCCCTCTGCCCTTTGTGTGTGTGTCTCACCTTTCCATTCTTTCCCTTCTGTTCAGTGGCTGGTGAGGGAAGTGGTTCAGCTCCTAGGCTAATTTGGAATAGCCAGGGCAAATTAAGACAATCTGGAGCCCTGGGCACATTCAGCATGGAGTCACTAGGGCCCTGCCCCAACACCATGGCTCAGTTACTCTTGGAGTGGCAGCAGGTTCCAGAGTAAGAGGAAAGAGGCAGCTCACACCTGTTGAAGCCATTGTTCTAGTACACTTTGGTAGGCATTAGTTACATTCAGGTTTTTCAAGCTTTTCTTTGCATCCATGCATCCTAAAAATATTATTTTTCATAATGAGAGCTGAGATTCTGATCCCAGAATCTGACTCTAGGAACTAGGGCGCTGGGCATAGGCCTAGAATGCTGAAACCTTAATCCAGACTGAATGAGCAGCCTCGGGACTGCTCTAAATTGTGCTGGTTTGTAACAACCACACACATCCCTTAAATCAGCCAGAGATCTCGAGACTGAAGTGTACTTTGACCATGCACTGCCCCATCCACAGTTTATCGCCTACAATGAAGAGGCAGAGAATGGGTGGTATAGAGCTGCCTTATATATAAAGAGAGGAAGGAGGTGGTTACAACACCAGCGTAGGGCTTGGCTTCAAGTCCTACACTAGTACACCATTGAACTCCTGTGTGACCATGGACAAGAGACTTAGCCTCTCTCTGCTTCTGTTCCCCATCTGTTAAATGGCACTTTCCTACCATGCAGCAGTGTTGTGAGGAAAATACATTAACGATAGTGGGACCAAGGCTCTGGGCCTCAGACCAGGAGCTCTGGAACAGGGGTGGCCAGGGGGCCATGGCCCCATCATTTTTTACTGGCCATAAGGGCGAGCGATGGGGGGGGAGGGAGAGGTGGAAAGGAGCAAGCAGGGGGCAGGGTTTTGGGGGAAGGGGCATGGTGGAGAAGGAGCCTCAGGGGAAGGGACAGCACAGGAGTAGGGCCTCAGGGGAAGGAGTGGGTATTGGGGCCATGTTTCCGACGCTGGTGGCCCTCTCACTTTTAGGAGCCTTCTGCTACTCCCGCCTCAGACTATAGATTATAATTAAGACTACGTTTTAGTCATGGGTATTTTTAGTAAAAGTCATGGACAGGTCACGAGCAGTAAACAAAAATTCATGGCCCGTGACCTGTCCATGACTTTTACTATATACTCCTGCCTAAAACTTGGGTGGGAGGCTGCAGGTGATCTGGGGGCACTGCAGGTGCTGGAGGAGATGGCCCAGGACCCCTGCTGGTGCTGGGGGCGTGGGTATTGGCATGTGGCCCGGGACCCCCGCTGGTGCTGGGGGCGTGGGCATCGGCATGCGGCCCGGGACCCGTGCTGGGGGGAGTCGGGGGGAGTCAGTTGGCAGAGCTCACAGGGGCTGCCTACCTGGCTCCACATGTCCCTGCAGCTCCTAGGCGGCAGAGGGGCCAGGAGGCTCGGCACGCTACTCCCACCACAAGCGCTGGCTGTGCAGCTCCCATTGGCTGGGAACTGCAGCCAGTGGGAACTGCGGGGGCAGGCAGCATGTGGAGCCCCCTGGCCCCTCCACCTAGGAGCTGCAGGGCCATGCCAGTGGGAGCTGGGAAGCCCCCCACCCTGAGGTAAGCCCTCCCTGCATCCCCCTGCCCCTAGCCCTGAGTCCCCTCCCATACACCCAAACTGCTGCTGCTGGCCCAGGGGCTACCTGGCTTGGGCAGCCCCTGAGCCAGCACCGGCTGGTGCAGAAGTCACGGAAAGTCACGGAATCCATGACGTCCATGACAGAGTCACAGCCTTAATTATAATACAGAACACAGGCACCAACTTTCCAATGTGCCGGCGGGTGCTCGACCCCTGGCTCTGCCCCAGGTCCCGCTCTCCCTCCACCCATTCCCCCAAGGCCTTGCCCCCACCTGCCCCTGTCCTGCCCTCACCCTGCCTCTTCCCACCCCTGCTCCACCCCCCAACCCACTTCTTCCTGCCCCAGTCAGTCCCCTCCCCCGAGTGCGCCGCATCCTCGCTCCTCCTCCCGCCCCACAGAGCCTCCTGAACACTGCAAAACAGCTGATTGTGGTGGGCAGGAGGTACGGGGAGGGAGGAGGAGGCGCTGATCAGTGGGGCCTGCTGGCAGGCTGGAGGCCCTGCAGGGAGGTGGAGGTCCTGATAGGGGGGCTGCTGGTGGGTGATCAGCACCCACAATTTTTTTCCCTATGGGTGCTCCAGCCCTGGAGCACCCACGGAGTCGGCGCCTATGATACAGAATATTCTTAAAATCTCTATACTAGAAAATGAACTTTCATGGCAGCTTGGACCATGTTTGCTTTCCCTTCTCAGAACCCAGAACAGCTTCAATAATGGAGTCTTTGCCTACAGAACTTGTCTGTTTTGCTGGTTTTCCAGAATCGGTTGGCCTTGAGAACCCACCAGATGCATCTGTTCAGGCTGGCCTATGGTTTAACTTTTGAGATAGTGTAACTAGGACGACCAGACAGCAAATGTGAAAAATTGGGACTGGTATGGGGGGGTAATAGGCGCCTATATAAGAAAAAGTCCCTATAAAATCAGACATCTGGTCAACCTTAAGTGTAACCCACACACCTCCTGCGTGTGGTGTTCTGTCCTATCTAGTGTTACTGAGACCACTTAGAGAGAAATAAAATGTGTCTGCTCTACAGCCTTAGCTAACAGCCAGTTGGCTTTTAGCTCATGCAGTAGAGGCTCATACACTAAGCTCCAGAGGTCCCAGTTCAATCCCACCTGCTGACAACCGAGGTCTGTCAGCATTACAATAGCACACTGGATAGGGCAACAGCAGCAGGAGTCATTTATCCACCCTCTGTGAATGGATTTGTAGTGTAGTCAGCAATTCCTTCCTTGGCTGCTAAGTCTAGCCCAGTAGTTAGGGAGACCCTGTGTGGTACCATTAAGCAGCACAGGCAGTGTTTTCTTAGTTTAGGAGCTAGAGAGAACCATGGGGTCTGTTTGTGTCATAAGTATCAGCAAAGAATTGTCTTTATATTCATTACACCCCAGCCTCTTTATTCTGTACTGTGAGGTTTGCTACCATTGTGTTAATTTTTTAAGTGTGCATTTTTAATAAGGTGAGGGGCCCAGGTATATGGTAATGAGCAGAATATATACATGTTTACAGCTATTACATTTAATCCCTATTATTTCATTTCAAATTTAATGCAGGGTTACCAGAAAGCCTGCGATGGTGCGTTGTGCTCACTGAGGAGATCTGGAAATGTAGTGAAATGGCTGTTGCCTTTAAAAAAAAGAACTTGAAACCAGAGATCCAGTGTGTTTCAGCCAAGACAACAGAACAGTGTATGGAAATGATCCAGGTGGGCTTGTTACTATGCTTTGTATGAACCATACTGGTTCTTGACCATGAATATATTGTAATGTATTAGTTAATGAGTATGCTTACAACTGTCCTCTGCTGGATAGAATCACCAGTCTGTTGTAAGTGGCCCTAATGGCTGGATCCCATGTGCTTCAAAGCCAAGTGGATCTGGGGAGAGTCAAGTAACTGTTTCTAGCTCTGGCAGTCTAGTGCCTACTCCTGGGCTCAGACCGCTTGTCTGATGCCTTTCTTTTAACATGGGGTACTGCTGCCCAACTGACCTATAATCCAGAATCAGTTTCTGAGGCCTCCTGAGCCCCCCAGTTGCTTACATGTGCCCCCCCTCCCAGTTCTACTTAGGCTATGGGCATACTTGTTTAACCCCTTTGGGATCAACATGGCAGGACAGCAAAGAACAAAGGCTTAGAAAAAATTTCTTAACCACAGTGCAGGAGTGCTGGAACAATTTTTATAGTGGGGGTGCTGAGAGCCATTGAACAAAACTGTAAACCCTGTGTATAATGGAAACCACTTCCAGCCAGGGGGTGCGCTGCACCCCTGGTTCCAACACCTATGCCACAGTGACTTTACTCTTAAAGCACTTGGGACTCTGATTATTTGAAAAAAACCAGTAACGCTCAAGGCACACTCTCTCTAGTCTGGGCTTACCTTGTCTGTACAGTCCATGGTTTGAGTGGATTTCTGGCTGTGCAGAGCCCTCTTGCACTCCTCTCCTGAAGTCCTGCTTACATGTGGCAATGCTTGGCCCTCCTATACAGAGCAGAACCCTTCTCTTAACTCGGACCTCCATTTTTGTGCCAGCTGAAGTTCCAAATACACCGGTGTGCTTGCCTCTCCCGCTTTCACTCTGTAGGCCTCTGTATAAAAATTCCATTGCTCCAGGCGAGTAGTTGAGAGTCAAAGTCAATAGATTTTTAACCTTGATGGCTCTGTGGTGGTCCTTCAACAAGGTGTCAAATGCCTTTTGTGGGCAAGGTGGCTGTCAGGAATATTACATAACAGGCTGCCCCATGGTAGAACCAAACTAACACAGCCGCAATGCCAGTATTTTAATACAGGTACAAAATAGTCTTCACAATTTGATAGTCATATCCCACTCTATCATGCCAATAAGCAGTAAATGCAGTTGTGACTTGTATAAGCTATGCCATTAGTCTAAGATCATGCACTACTGCCAAAGGATTAGAAAATTTGCTTTAAGAGAAAAAAATTAGAAATGTATTTAGCTTAAGAGCTATGGGAAAGACTTGAATATCTGAGTTTTATTCCTATTACCACTGTGAAGTTCTGAATAATTCTGAGGTGCAGAATAGTGATAGCTGTGAAGCCCTAGGTGGCTATAGATTTGTTACAATATCATGCATCCATAGATCTTTTATCAGCTGAAATCCATTGGTGCCACTTACAAACAAGATTATTGTGGCAGAGCTCTGACTTTGGCCCCATGGGTCTTGCGCTTCTAGGCAGTATATGCTAGCCTCAGTGGCTCTCTGCCACCCTCCCTGTAGCCCTTCTCTCTCTAGGGCCAGGGTTACAGTGTACTGAGCCCTTTTCATCATAAGCCAGCAAGGAGGTTGGTGAGAGAATTCCCACAGTCTCTGTTGTCCCTAGGGCGTGTTTTAGAACAGTTTAGCTACCTGTCCGGACAAGGGCCTGACTTCCCCTCCCAGGAGGTGCTCCTGTAGTGGTGGGTTGGGGGGAACCCAGGCCCGCCCTCTACTCCAGGTTCCGGCCCAGGGATCCTAATGGTAACAGCTGTTGGCAGCCAACCTTTCACTGCCAGAGTTGCTACATTTCCCTGGGCCACCTCCCCACAGCTCTCCTGCTTCTCCCTTCTTCACCCTTACCTTAGGGCTCCCTTATCAATAACTTGAGGGTATCTTCGTTAACCAGTCCTTCAGCCGCACTTCCTCTCCTCTGGCTCACCTCTGCCTGACTGACTGGAGTGAGCTCTTTTTATAGTATCAGCGGGGCCTTAGAGTCAGGTGGTCACATTAGCTTAATGGCCTCACCTGACTCTTTGCAGGTTAATTGGAGTCAGGTGTTCTCATTAGGCTGGAGCAGCCCCTGCTCTGGTCAGTCAGGGAACAGAAAACTGTTAATCCAGTGGCCAGTATATCTGCCTTCTGCTGTACCCAACTGACCTGGGTCTATCACATTATGTACTCACTTTATTTAAAAAGATGAGTCTGCCTCTTTTATCCAGTATTAAATTGCAGCTACCCTGACTATGGCCACTGGGCTGCTTTGATGGGAGAAGAATGCCATTAGATTACACATAGAAATTCAATCAAACTAGCCCTGGGGCAGAATTTATTTTACACTTAAATAAGTAATAATGGCCTCTGTATAAATTCTTCAGCAATCTGAAGTTGAATTTGAGTTCAGTCTTATTGTGTTTGTCCATTTTAGAGGAAACTTGCTAAAACATCACTAATAAAACTGAGGTCCACCATGTCCTGTTCCTGTTGAGATTGAGACATGTCCCATGACCCAATAATACAGCTAAGGGTGTGTCTTTATAGCACAGTTACCATGAGTTATAACTCAAGTGTTACCCCTAACTCGACTCCTGTCCACACGCAAAAATCCATAGCTCAAAGTTAAATGGTGCTCTAAAAGTGAACTAGTTGGCAAGTGGGGAAGGGTTGAAGCTCTCAAGCACTGCTGATGTTGGAGCTAGTAATGCAGAAGGGATGCAACAGCTACTCAGAAGCAGCTAATCCAATCACTATGTGTAACTCCAGTGCTGTTTTGAATTGTGGTCACTCTCACTTGAGCTAGGTTAGCTCAAGTACAGTGACTCGAGTGTGCTAACTGAAGCTAACTGTTGCAGTGAAGAAAAGCTCTATGTCTTCCCAATTAATTCCCACCTCCATGTCAGAACACAGGGCTGCTTTGGACTCCCTGTGATCCATCATCCATGGGCTGAATCCTAGCATGAGAATGTGGCCAGGTCTAGCAGTGGGAAAATGGAAGAGGAATGCCATGGAGGAGAGGAGTTTCTGTCAAAAGGATATGGGGCTTGTTGAAACTCACTTTAGCAAAAATCATAATCTGACTGGGCCTTCCAAGGTATGTCTATATGACCAAAAAAACCCTGCGGTAGTGAATCTCAGAACCCAGGTCTACAGGATAGCACTATAGCGCTAAAAATAGTCTTGTAGACATTCAAGCTTGAGCTCTGATGTACGGATAGGGGCATGAGATTTAGAACCCAAGCAGCCCAAATATCTACACAGCTATTTTTAGCACCGTGATGTGAGCCCCGCAAACCAAAGTATATAGACCTGGGCTCTGAGACTGACTACCACGGGGGATTTTTGCTGTGTAAACATACCTTCAGTGGCCAAAAACCTTCCCACCAGTGTCACCAATGACTGTAGTGATCTAACCTTCTTAACACTGGCCAGTATCCTAAGGGTTAAATCTGTTGCTGCGGAGATGGCATGTCTGCATTTTTGCATCTGAGGCTTGTCTGGTTATTAGGTTTTATTCTGAAATTTATGGGTATGATTTGAGAGAAAAATCACTTCGGCTTATCCACAACCAGCTGAAGAATATGCTTAAAGTTGATTGGTCTGTGGCGCAAGACCTGGGAGTATTATTTTTACTGGGCCAGGACTCATTTCAGGGGTGACAGAGGATGAGGCAGCTGATATTGTGCCTCCTGGATCCTTGTTCTGAGAGATGCTTGAACTAGATGCTAGCAAAGATTTATTTTCACACAACTCATGAATTTTATTTCATTTCCTTTCAGAAAAAAGAAAGTGATGCTGTAAGTGTGGATGGAGTTGATATTTACACAGCTGGAAACATGTATGGCCTAGTGCCAGCTGCTGGGGAAAGTTACTCTGGTAAGAAGAGCAGAGAACATAGGGTTTCTGTTTTTCAGGCTGTTTGAAAACACTGTAAAACATAGTTTGAGGTCAGTGGATCTGTCTGGAAAATCATTTTTCAGACAGAAGCTAAACAATACATTTGATCCCAAAAAAACCACACCTTGAACTTACGTAACTCAGTGTTGATAAAACTGGGCTGCCCTGGTAGTCAGTTAACTGAGATCATCAGGTGGGAATGAGGTTTACATCATGTACTGAGCATGAACTTCAAAAATATCCATCTCCTTTCTGATCAGTTAGGACATCTTACAATATACTGTCACAGTAAAACATGCAGTCTTGCACAATTAGGTGCATTATAGAAAGTTTATGTCTCTCTCTCTGACCCTCTGGAATTAGTCACTGGTGAAGGAAGGGTACAGAACTGTGTAGACAACTGATCTGCACTATGGTGCAGCTTCCCACTATGTAACATGAATATTTGCTATATTTTATTGAAATTATAATAGAGTTTTAGCATTTTATAATACAATATGAACCCTTTATGAATTAAGGATATAACTTGGGAGCATGGGCGGTGGGTATCATAGGCGGGGGGAGGCTAAGCCTCCCCTAACAGCCAGGCGTGGCCCTGCCAAGGCTCCGCCCCCAGGCCTGCCTCTGCGGCCCCCCCTGTGTGGCGGCCCCAGCCGGGTGCTCCTGGGCTGGGGCCGCATGGGCTAGCTGCCAAAGTGGGGGTGGAGGATTCTGGTGGGGGAAGGGGCAAGGCCTCAGGTGGAAGGGGGGGGCTGGGGCTAGACTCCTCCAGCCAGCAGTTCACATGCCACCAATCCTTGGGAGCCTCACAATTCAGCTGTAACCCTACTTGACCATGAAAGAGCCTGTGCTTTAAAGAGTGATCTTGTTGAAGTCACAGGGTCATAGGAATTGCCATACTGAATCAGACCAAGTGATCTATCTAGTCCAGTATCATTCCAGCGCTGGTGCACTATCTACACTTGCGCTTTACAGTACTGAAACTTGCTGCGCTCCAGGGGGTGTTTTTTCACACCTCTGAACGAGAAAGTTGCAGCGCTGTAAATTGCCAGTGTAGACTAGCTCTTAGATGCTTCTCACCACAGGCTGGCTGCTCGCTCTTCAGCCAGAGTGATTTAGATGACTTGGTAAATGCACAAACAATATGCATTTTGATTTGACCAAAATGCAAAGTTAAACATATAGAAACAAAGAATGTAGGGCCTAGTTACATGATGAGGGGACTCTATCCTGAGAAACAGTGACTCTGAAAATAACGTTGGAGGTCATTGTGCATGATCACCTGAACATGAGCTCTCAGAGTGATGCTGTGGCCAAAAGGGCTAATGTGAGCCTTGAAAAAAGGTCTACAAAAAGTGGAATCTAGGTCAAATTACAAAGGATGAATATAAACAAACATCACAAGTATGTAGGGACAAAATTAGAAAGGCCAAGGCACAAAACGAGATTAAACTAGTTAGAAACAAAGGGTAACAATAAAATAGTCTACAAATACATTAGAAGCAAGAGGAAGTCCAAGAACAAGGTAGGCCCATTACTCAGTGAGGACGAAAAGATAATAAAGTGTGGAAATGGCAGAAGTGCTAAATGACTCTTTTGTTTGTTTTCACTGAAAAGGTTAGTAGTAAGAATCATAGAATATCAGGGTTGGAAGGGACCTCAGGTGGTCATCTATTCCAACCCCCTGCTCAAAGCAGGACCAATCCCCAGACAGATTTTTGCCCCAGATCCCTAAATGGCCCCCTCAAGGATTGAACTCTCAACCCTGGGTTTAGCAGGCCAATGTGATTAGACATCTAACATAATGAATGACAGTGAAAATGAGGTAGGATCAGAAACTAAAATATGGAAAGAACAAATTAAAAATTACTTAGACAAATTAGATGTCTTCAAGTCACCAGGACCTGATAAAATACATCCTAGAATATTCAAGGAGCTGACTGAGGAGATATCTGAGCCATTAGTGATTATCTTCAAAAAAAGCAAAAGAGGGTCCTGTGGCACCTTTCAGACTAACAGAAGTATTGGGAGCATAAGCTTTCGTGGGTAAGAACCTCACTTCTTCAGATGCAAGTCACCACTGAAGAAGTGAGGTTCTTACCCACCAAAGCTTATGCTCCCAATACTTATGTTAATCTTGAAGGTGCCACAGGACCCTCTGTTGCTTTTTACAGATTCAGACTAACACGGCTACCCCCCTGATACTTGACTATCTTCGAAAAGTCATGGAAGACAGGAGAGATTCCAGAGGACTGGAAAAAAGCAAATATAGTGCCAATATATAAAAAGGGGATAAAGACAATCTGGGGAATTACAGACCAATCAGCTTAATTTCAATACCTGGAAAGAAAATGGAGCACATATTAAGCAATCAATTTGCAAATGCCTAGAAGAAAAAAGGTGATAAGTAACAGCATGGATCTGTGAAGAACAAATCACGTCAAAGCAACCGGATAACTTTAGTTGACAGGGTAACAAGCCTGGTGAATAGGGGGAAAGCGGTAGATGTGGTGTATCTTGACTTTAGTAAGGCTTTTGGTACTGTCTCGCGTGACCTTCTCATAAACTAACTAGGGAAATACAACCTAGATGGAACTATAAGACGATGGATGCATAACTGGTTGGAAAACCATTCCCAGAGAGTAGTTCTCAGTGGTTCACAGTCAGTCTGGAAGGGCATAATGAGTGGGGTCTTTCAGGGATCAGTTCTGGGTCCAGTTCTGTTCAATATCTTCATCAATTATTTAGATAATGGCATAGAGAATACACTTAAAGTTTGTGGATGACACCAAGCTGGGAGGGGTTGCAAGTGATTTGCAGGATAGGATTAAAATTCAAAATGATTTGGAACAACTGGAGAAATGGTCTGAAGCAAATAGGATGAAATTCAATAAGGAAAAATACAAAGTGCTCCATTTAGGAAGGAACACTCAGTTGCACACGTAAAAAATAGGAATTGACTGCCCAGCAAGGGTCATAGCAGATCACAAGCTAAATATGAGTCAACAGTGTAACACTTGCACACACAAAAAAAGCAAACATCATTCTGGGATGTATTAGCAGGAGTGTTATAAGCAAGACAAGAGAAGTAATTCTTCTGTTCTACTCCACACTGATTAGGCCTCAACTGGAGTATTTTGTCCAGTTCTGGGTGTCACATTTCAGGAAATATGTGGACAAATTGGAGAAAGTTCAGAATAGAGTAACAAAAATGATTGGAGGTCTAGAAAACATGACCAATAAGGGAAGATTGAAAAAAATTGGGTTTGTTTAGTGTGAAGAAGAGAAGACAGAGGGGGCCATGATAACAATTTTCAAGAACATAAAAGGTTGTTACAAGGAGGAAGGAGAAAAAAAATTCTGCTAACTTCTAAGGATAGGACAAGAAGCAATGGGCTTAAATTGCAGCAAGGGTGGTTTATGTTGGACATTAGGAAAAACTTCCTGTCAGCATAGTTAAGCACTGGAATAAGTTGCCTAGGGAGGTTGGGGAAACTCCATCACTGGAGCTTTTTAAGAGCAGGTTTTTAAAAAAAAATAAAAAATTTAAATTAATGGAGATATCCTATCTCCTAGAACTGGAAGGGACCTTGAAAGGTCATAGAGTCCAGCCCCCTGCCTTCACTAGAAGGACCAAGTACTGATTTTGCCCCAGATCCTTAAGTGGTCCCCTCAAGGTCTGAACTCACAACCCTGGGTTTAGACAAACACCTGTCAGGGATGGTCTAGATAATACTTAATCCTGCCATGAGTACAGGAGGCTGGACTCTATGACCTTTCAAGGTCCCTTCCAGTCCTAGGATTCTGTGTTTCAGGTAGATGGGAGGGATAGCTCAGTGGTTTGAGCATTGGCCTGCTAAACACAGGGTTGAGAGTTCAATCCTTGAGGGGGCCACTTAGGGATCTGGGTCAAAAATCAGTACTTGGTCCTGCTAGTGAAGGCAGCGGGCTGGACTCAATGACCTTTTGAGGTCCCTTCCAGCTCTAGGAGATAGGTATATCTCCATATATTTAAGCTTACAAGAAGTGGAAGATTGGACAAATGACCAGGAAGGAGTATAAAAATATTGCTCAGGCGTGCAGGAGTGAAATCAGGAAGGCCAAATCACACTTGGAGTTGCAGCTAGCAAGGGATGTTAAGAGTAACAAGAAGGGTTTCTTCAGGTATATTAGCAACAAGAAGAAAGTCAAGGAAAGTGTGGGCCCCTTACTGAATGAGGGAGGCAACCTAGTGACAGAGGATGTGGAAAAAGCTAATGTATTCAATGCTTTTTTTTGCCTCTGTCTTCATGAACAAGGTCAGCTCCTTGACTGCTGCACTGGGCAGCACAGTATGGGGAGGAGGTGACCAGCCCTCTGTGGAGAAAGAAGTGGTTCGGGACTATTTAGAAAAACTGGATGAGCACAAGTCCATGGGGCCGGATGCGCTGCATCCGAAGGTGCTAAAGGAGTTGGCGGATGTGATTGCAGAGCCATTGGCCATTATCTTTGAAAACTCATGGCGATCGGGGGAGATCCTGGATGACTGGAAAAAGGTTAATGTAGTGCCCATCTTTAAAAAAGGAAGGAGGATCATCCAGGGAACTACAGGCCAGTCAGACTCACCTCAGTCCCTGGAAAAATCATGGAGCAGGTCCTCAAGGAATCAATTCTGAAGCACTTAGAGGAGAAGAAAGTGACCAGGAACAGTCAGCATGGATTCGCCGAGGGCAAGTCATGCCTGACTAACCTAATTGCTTTCTATGAGGAGATAACTGGGTCTGTGGATGAGGGGAAAGCAGTGGATGTGTTATTCCTTGACTTTAGCAAAGCTTTTGATACAGTCTCCCACAGTATTCTTGCCAGCAAGTTAAAGAAGTATGGTCTGAATGAATGGACTATAAGGTGGATAGAAAGCTGGCTAGATTGTCAGGCTCAATGGGTAGTGATCAATGGCTCCATGTCTAGTTGGCAGCCGGTTTCAAGCAGAGTGCCCCAAGGGTCGGTCCTGGGGCCGGTTTTGTTCAATATCTTCATTAATGATCTGGAGGATGGCGTGGACTGCACTCTCAGCAAGTTTGCAGAGGACACTAACCTGGGAGGAGTGGTAGATACGCTGGAGGATAGGGATAGGATACAGAGGGACCTAGACAAATTAGAGGATTGGGCCAAAAGAAATCTGATGAGGTTCAACAGGGACAAGTGGAGAGTCCTGCACTTAGGACGGAAGAATCCCATTCACTGTTACAGACTAGGGACCGAATGACTAGGAAGCAGTTTTGCAGAAAAGGACGTAGGGGTTACAGTGGACGAGAAGCTGGATGAGTCAACAGTGTGCCCTTGTTGCCAAGAAGCCTAACGGCATTTTGGGTTGTATAAGTAGGGGCATTGCCAGCAGATCGAGGGATGTGATCGTTCCCCTCTATTCGACATTGGTGAGGCCTCATCTGGAGTACTGTGTCCAGTTTTGGGCCCCACACTACAAGGAGGATGTGGAAAAATTGTAGAGAGTCCAGCGGAGGGCAACAAAAATGATTAGGGGGCTGGAGCACATGACTTATAGGTGAGGCTGAGGGAACTGGGATTGTTTAGTCTGCAGAAGAGAAGAATGAGGGGGGATTTGATAGCTGCTTTCAACTACCTGAAAGGGGGTTCCAAAGAGGATGGATCTAGACTGTTCTCAGTGGTACCTGATGACAGAACAAGGAGTAATGGTTTCAAGTTGCAGTGGGGGAGGTTTAGGTTGGATATTAGGAAAAACTTTTTCATTAGGAGGGTGGTGAAGCACTGGAATGGGTTACCTAGGGAGGTGGTGGAATCTCCTTCCTTAGAGGTTTTTAAGGTCAGGCTGGACAAAGCCCTGGCTGGGATGATTTATTTGAGAATTGGTCCTGCTTTGAGTGGGGGGTTGGACTAGATTACCTCCTGAGGTCCTTTCCAACCCTGATATTCTATGATTCTATGTAAGGAAGTTACATAGGCGCTGACTCCGTGGGTGCTTCATGGCTCCATGGGAAAAAAATGGTGCGTGCTCAACCCCCACCAGGAGCCCCACTATCAATGCCTCTCCAGTCAATATACAATGACTGGAAGATGAAGCTAGACAAATTCAGACTGGAAATAAGTTATAACTTTTTAACAGAAAGGATAATTAACCATTTGAACAATTTACCAAGGGTCGTGGTGGAGTCTTCATTGCTGGCAATTTTTAAATCAAGATTGGATGTTTTTCTAAGTCATATGCTCTAGTTCAACCAGGAATTAATTCAGGAAGTCTTATTCAGCCTATGACATACAGGTCGTCAGATTAGATGATCACAACTGTCCTTTTCTGGCCTTATAATCTATTAAGCAATTCCTGCCTTTTCAGTCTCTTTTCATATGAAAGTCTCTCCAGGCCCCAAACATTCTTGTCCCCCATTTTTGACACACCCCACTCCCATATATTTCTTCAATAGCCATTTTGAGCTGGGGTGGCCATTACTGTGCACAGTATTCTAGTGGAGGCAGTCCATTGATTTATATAATGGCATTATAATATTTTCCATATTATTCTCTATTCCATTCCTAATTTGTTAGTTTTTTTTAACCGCAGCTGTACATTGACCAGAGGTCTTCAGTGAGCTGTCTACAATGATTCCCATGTTCTTTTCCTTAGCTGACACCCCCAGTATGGTGTCTGAATAGTTCCAATTAGTCTCTCCCACATTTAGTACTTTGCATTTGTCAATGGCATATTTTACACAGCCACATTCACCGCTGCTTAAGTGTGTGCACGTCTCCCTAGAAGTCAATGGACTTTGCCTACTTATTATTTGGGCTGCACAATAATCATACTTAGTATTTATGTAGCATGTTTCATCAATACGTGTCAGAGCACTTTAAAAAGGAGGGTAAATATCATTATCCTCATTTTACAAATAGGGAAAGTGAGGCACAGATAGGGGAGGCCTCAGAACAAGTGGCAAACCCTGGCTGCTCTATGTGTTTATTCTTTGATGATCTGACCTCATGCATGGCTTACTGCCCTTTCTGTTCACCCACACACAACAAATATTTTGTGCTCTAGCAATGAGTTGTGAATAAAGGGCTGAGTACCACTGTTTATCCAAAATATTACTGGTGATTTTTTGTCTTTTCACCAGTTCTGCAAAGATGTGAAGGTTTCTGGAATTTTGTGGTGTTAGTTCATAGCTTTTGTTGTCTGTGTAAAAAATCATTTTTCACCCAGGGGATAAATGAAAGAACGTTCACAGAAGAAAATAATACAGAAGTTTACATTTTAAGTTCTAACTGAGATCAAATTCTTCCCCTCACTGATATTTTTCAAAAGTAGAGTGATGAAAGGCTGACTAGTGGCGTTATTTGTCATCACGGTGAGCCTATAGAAAGCTGCAAAATGTTTAGAGCTTTCCTCCAAGTCTGTAAAAGTTAACGTATAAGCAATGTGCTTTTTAAAGCAGCTTCGTCACATAGCTTAGGACCCAAACGGAGGATTTTGCAAAATTAAAGTGGGGGAAAAGGTGGGGGGTAATTCCTAAAAACTAAAATTTACAGAAATATTTTCATGGCATTTGAAAAAGCAATTCAGACCCATCTCTATATTAAGGCAGCAGTAAACGCATCTATATAAAGGAAAGGTTTGGCTCCACATGAATGTCAGATTGTTAGTGTAAAACAGCTAATTAAGAATTACATTTATAATGAAAGGAGGAAAATGACATTCCATGTTTCATAACCTGGAATTGTTGGTGCAGTCTCCTTCATGTAGGATGAGTTAGGAATTTAGCAGCAAATGAGATATAATTGATCTGCCATATGAATCAGGTTTTCATGAAACAATAAGAACACTCAGGAAAAGGCATAATTCTTTTTTTCTTCCTAACAAGCTGATGACAACAGCAACATGTACTATGCTGTGGCATTAGTGAAACGGAACAATTCCAATGCTTTCACCATCAATGATCTGAAAGGGAAAAAGTCCTGCCACACAGGATATGGGAGAATGGCTGGATGGAACATCCCTATTGGTGTTCTAATTAAAAGGGGCTTTATTAGGCCCATGGACTGCAATATTCCTCAAGGTAAGGGTTCCACACATCAGAAGATGCAGACACAGTTTGGTTGTGTCTTTTTTATTCAGGGAAGAAAAGTCCCAAGAGAAGTTTCGTAACTCTGTGTTATACTAGTGTGTTTCATATTGGTATTAAATGCTTATCTTGATGCCTGAGGATTAGGTCTGTTATGCCTGGGAAGGCTCATGGGAGTGATGCATGTAAACCTCTGTGCATCACATTGAGAAATTCCTCTTGTAGAATAGAAAACCCCCTTTTTTCCCCCATTTCATCTTATGGTTAACTCACCACAAAACAATATGGGCCCAGTCCTTCCTCTCCTGCAAGCAGTCCTTACAGAAGCAGTTGTAACACTGACAGACCTCAGTCATCAGCAGGTGGGACTGAACCTGGGGTCTCTGGACCTTAGTGCATGAGGCTCTACTGCATGAGCTAAACACCATATAGCTATTAGCTAAGGCTGTAGAACAGACTCATTAATCTCCCTCTCTAAGTGGTCTTGGTACCACTAAATGGGTTTTCATGAAACAATAAGGACACCCAGGAAAAGGCATAATTCTTCTTTTCTTCCCAACAAGCTGACGACAACAGCAACATGTACTATGCTGTGGCATTAGTGAAATAGAACACTTCCAATGCTTTCACTATCAATGATCTGAAAGGGTGTGGGTTACGCAGTGTCAGGAGGTCTGTGGGTTACACAGTGTCATAAACGCTTTATACCTAAGGCCTTGGCTACACTTGAGAGTTACAGCGCAATAAAGCCACCCATAGCACTGTTAGTCTCTAAGGTGCCACAAGTACTCCTGTTCTTCTTTTTGCGGATACAGACTAACACGGCTGTTACTCTGAACCATAGCACTGTAACTCACTCCCCGTCCACACTGGCAAGGCACGTACAGCGCTATATCTCCACGGCTACAGCGCTGCTTGTACTCCACCTCAGTGTGCACCTGTGGTGATAATTGCTGTCAATGGGGCTGCTTGTGTAAGTAAGGCTTGCAGGATTAGGCTCTTTGTTACACTTTTTATGGAAGTCCCGAATGAAGAAGAAACATGGAGCCAAATTCTGTGCAACCCCACTGAAGACAATATGATCAGACAGGATTTACTGGAAGTCGGTGGAGAATTTGACCTACAGTTCTTGTGTATTTTCCAACCTATGTGCACTGATCTGCAAGAACAGACTTCTGGGCTAAATATTTGAAAAGCTATGGCTTAATTGGGTGTACAGATTGTGCATGGGCCAAATCCTGAAAACTTTCTATTTCATCAAGACCTTATTGGAGTAAAGATTAAACAAGATCTGCAGGCTTTCGGCCCAGAATGAGTAGTTCTCGAAGTAGAGTTTTACCCCTGCAGTTGCATTTTAAATCAATAATGTGTGTGCAAATGAATGAACAAAGAAGTGGGCAGGCCTGGTATTGTAGGTAGCCTTCTTTAAATGTGCAAGTGTATTTTCTACACAGAGAGCACATTTTTGCGCTGAATTAATTGATTTGCATGTTTTAACAAACTGGACATGCAAAATCTTAAACCAACTTTCAGAAATGCAGCTGAAGTGCCTATTGTAATCAAAGCAGTTTGTACCCCTGTTAACCAACTATAAGCTTAACATGTGCTCTTGGAGAATCTGACCCAATCTGTCCTTTGGCCTATCTTGCCAACTAACAATCTAGACTGCATTTTGAAGATGTTTTGAAAGATATAATTAGTCATTTCCCGTAAACCTAATATAATGTGCATGTTGCTGGCTTTTTAGTGAAACCTGCATTGTCATGTAATTAAATGATATTGTAACCTAGGTGTTTTGTGAATGGCTGACACTCACCTCTCCATGCTTTTTAAAGTCAGGTATGACAAAGCCTTGGCTGGGATGATTTAGTTAGAGATTGGTCCTGCTTTGAGCAGGGGGTTGGACTAGATGATCTCCTGAGGTCCCTTCCAACCCTGATATTCTATAATTCTATGATCTTTCTCTTTCCAGCTGTGAGTGACTTTTTCTCCGCTAGCTGTGTGCCTGCAGCCAAGATGGACAATTACCCATCAAAACTCTGTGAGCTTTGCATTGGCGATAATAGTGGAAACAATAAATGCGATGCAAGTACCCAGGAACGTTATTATAGCTACAGTGGAGCCTTCAGGTAATGAACAAAATCATTGTGCAACGTGGATGCTTATTTTGCAAAAGATGAGGAGGCATTATTGTACTCAATGTAATTGTAGCCCTGTTGGTTCCAGGATATTAGAGAGACAAGGTGGGTGAGGTCAAGTAAAAGATATTACCTCACTCACCTTGTCTCTCTAATAAGTTTAACATGGCACTTATCCCGCAAATCTCTCCCAGAAGTCCAGCAATAAAAATGTACCAAAAAGCTTCCACTTCATGTCATCCATCTCTCTGTTGACACACCACCTCTTTGGTACATTAAGCATCTCTCTTTGTGTGCATCCATCACAGCCCTGGGCAGCACATCTTGCTGCAAGAAATTGCTTCTGTCCATGCCTTGATTGAGATGGTGGGGATTGGACTCCTGGAAAACTGTTAGATCCTAGACGACGAGTCTAGGAATACCATCTCCCCACCCAAATCCTCTCTCAGGAGTTAATCCCAGGACCAACACTGCTCTCAACAATAAAACAACTCTTATCTAAGCAGGGCAATGGTGGTGGAATGCGGGACTCACCCTTGCGGCACCTCCTGCTGGTCTCTTCCAGGCATTAGCTCTGCAAGCCTTGGAGCGCCCTCTGCAGGCCGGTGTCCCGCTGCCGCTTGGCCCCCATGTCCCCCCCCCAGACTCTAGTTGACCCTTTCACTGGGTGCTGCCCCCTGGCCATACACCCCCTCAATCTCAGGGTCTCCCCTCCACCCCATCCCCACCTCACCTCAGTTGTAGGCTACTGCCAGTCACCAACTAGCCCCCATTCCCTGGGGCAGACTGCAGTATAAGCCACTCCTCACTGGCAAGCAGGGTTTGGGTCTGCTGCCTTCCTCTGCCCTTGGGCTGCCCCCTGCAACACCAATACCTATTCGGTCTTATACTAGGCCTGCAGCCTGGGGGGGTTTCCAGGCCGGAGCTCCCCAGCTCCGCCTCACTCTAGGCACCCTGAGCTTCCCAGCAGCCAGGCCCCCCCTCTCTCTCTGTGAAGGCAGAGAGAGACTGTTTGGGTTTCTGGCTCGCAGCCTCTTATAAGGACCGGCTGGGCCTGATTGGGGCGTGGCCCCAGCTGCTACTGCCTTCCCCAGTCAGCCCAGGATTTCCTTCACAGCCTCAGCCTTCTCCCAGGGCTGGCTTTAACCCTTCCAGGGCTGGAGCGGGTGACCACCCCACTACAAGTGGTATATATGAGGAGCAGTGGGCACTGTCCGGGGTTCTCTGCTCGGTGTCCCCGTCTGGTTCTCTTCTTTTGACCCTTTGACCACACTCCTGTCCCTGTTTTTACATTAGTTGTCCCCCGTAATTATTTGAGTTCCAGGCCCTGTGGATCCTCCCCTTAGGCTGGGGGGGGATCCTTTAGCAGTGGGCGGGCTTACGCCCGCCCACTTCCCGGAACCCAATAGGTACAAGTGGTATATAGCCAATCTGGGACTGCTAGTAGCAAATATCCCCAGTAGCCAGTGATGGGATACTAAATGGAAAGGGCTCTGAGTTACTACAGAGAATTCTTTCCTGGTGTCAGAGTAGCAGCCGTGTTAGTCTGTATCTGCAAAAAGAACAGGAGTACTTGTGGCACCTGAGAGACTTACAAATTTATTTGAGCATAAGCTTTCATGGGCTACATATTGACTCTATTTCCCCATGTTAAGTATCCCCACACCTTCTTGTCAACTGTCTGAAATGGGCCATCTTGATTATCACTACAAAAGTTTTTTTTCTCCTGCTGATAATAGCTCATCTTAATTAATTAGCTTCTTACAGTTGGTATGGCTACTTCCACCTTTTCATGTTCTCTGTATGTGTATATATATCTCCTTACTATATGTTCCATTCTGTAGCCCACGAAAGCTTATGCTCAAATAAATTTGTTAGTCTCTAAGGTGCCACAAGCACACCTGTTCTTTCCTGGTGTGTGGCTTTTGGGTGCTGCTCAAATGCTCAGGGTCCAACTGATCACCATATCTGGGGTTGGGAAGGAATTTTTTTACCAGGTCAGATTGGCAGAGACACTGAGGTTTTTCGCCTTACTCTGCAGCATGGGGACAGGTCACTTGCAGGTTTAAACTAGTGTAAATGGTGGATTCTCTGTAACTTGAAGTCTTTAAATCATTATTTGAGCACTTCAATAACTCAGCCAGATATTATTGGTCTATTACAGGAGAGGGTGGGTGAGGTTCTCTGGCCTTTGTTGTGCAGGTCAGACTAGATGATCATGATGGTCCCTTCTGGCCTTAAAGTCTGAGTCTATGAGTAGCTGCCTTAAAACAGGATTTATTACAAATAAAGAGAATTAAAATAAATGGTTTGCATAACATACCTCATTTGGATACTCAGCCTGAGCCCAGAGAGGTTTTTTCCCCTAGCTTAGCTAGAGAAGAAAGAATGTTCTTGCATGTCTAAAGAGCAACTCCCTTCTCTGACCTCTGCTGTTCAATGTATCAGTGTCATGCTCCTGTGTCCAGAGCGATAGCTGTTTCCCATTTCTTCACCCTAAATCCTTTATAAACCTCTGCCACCCAACCCCGGATCTAACCCTATTTTCCCAAAACACTTTTCTGAAGATAAATACACATACAGTAGGGTTGGCAAGCACTTGCTTTCCCACCTTCCAGGAGATAATAGCTGCCTTTCAAATGCCTAACTATTGAACTCAAGCACAGCCTTTTACAAATCATTTTGTCCGGCTGTATCCAGCTTATCCAGACTTCTTTTCTTTTTAACCACCTAAGCAATTTTCCCTTGCCATGGAATGTAGATTAGTGGCAGACCCCAGACCTTCTGTCACACTTCATAGCTTCAGGTAATCATTTAGCAATCAACAAACTGATAAGCAACAAATGTCATTGTGGCTGAGCTGTGTCATTTGTTCTAAGATAATGTACCACCATGAAGGTGTCTCAAGTCTAGAGATGGATTAAGGTCTCCTGGGACCCTGGGCCAGAGCAAAGGGGGGGCTGGCACTAGAACCGTGGCCCCATCCCAGCCCTTCCACCTGTGGCCCTACCCATGGTCCCACCCCATTCCTTCCCTTTTTCTGTGGCCCCACCCCCATTCCACCCTTGGCCCCGCTCCGTCCACTTGTGGCCCCACCCCATTCCACCCCCTCTGCCTGAGGCCCTGCCCATGGCCCCAACCCATTCTGCTCCTGCCCCACCACTCTCTCCTTTCCAGTGCACACCATCCCCCACTGAGGCCCCAAACCTGGGAAGCTCTGTCCCCCTGAGAGCTCCTCCAGCTCTGGGGCTGAGATGAAGGGAGATTTTTTGCCAGGAGCCCCAAATTAGCTGGGGCCCTTGGGCATGGCCCCTTTGGCTTGTGAGGTAATCCGCCAATCCTCCAGTCTTATGTGGGAATCACAACATTTTTTTTATGAGGAGGAATTTCAAGAAGTGAAGATGTTTAGCCTAAGAGTTATGGGAAAGACTTGAATACAGGGTATAAGTATTTAAAAGGTTCATGCTACAACATTTAGGAGAAATTCAAGGTCATGATCTGATAGTAAAGGCTGTACCTGGGATTTATATTATGGGGAACATTTTCTTTAAGAGAATCATGAGAATTTGGGCTATACAGACTTCAGGAAGAGTGACTAGAAAAAGTGGGGAAATTGAACAGAATAGTTATTGTGGAATACGCTTATTCCGCAATAGCCATTCAGATCTATTTCCCCATGTAAGCAAACCCAAATAGAAATAGTTGGACACATCAAGTATACCTGCTGAATATGAGGTCTTTACAGAAATGGATAAGGAAATAGGAAAAGAATGGTCATTACTAATCACTTTAAGTCACTTAGAAGCAGTGACTCTGAAAAAGATTTGGGGGTCCAGTTAGATAAGCAATTGAACATGAGCTCTCAGTGCAATGCTGTGGCCAAAAGCGAGAATGCAGTCCTTGGATGCATAAACAGGGGAATCATGAGTAAGTGTATGTCTACACTACGGGATTAATCCGAATTTATATAATTCGAATTTTGGAAACAGATTGTATAAAGTCAAATGTATGCGACCACACTAAGCACATTAATTCGGCGGTGTGCGTCCATGTACCAGGGCTAGTGTCGATTTCC